ACATCGCGCGCGCGTCAGGCCTTTGTTCGAGTGGAAGCAGGCCGAAAGGGAAGCGGCTAGTTGAACGTTAGTACAAGGGTGACATGGAGGAGATCGTGTGAAGAGGAAGAGGAGTTGAAACAGAATGGACTAACACAGATGCAGGTGAAAAGTACAGGAAAAGGAAGACAGAAGTGGCAAGTGGAGAGGTGCAGTTGAAGCCCTATGTTCCAATAGGAACCCAAGAGAACAATAGTAATAATAATAAAGTTTCTAATAGACTTACTATTATTACCAATAATTAGCGAGTGTATGATCCACATAACGACGTTTATATAGCATAAATTCTCCTAGCATTCCCTGGAATTGGTTTCTGCAATTTTGACATGAATATATCTGCAATTATTATTATTCTGATTATTCTTATGACCATCAAGTAAAGCCTCACACCCCCATCCCCCATAACAGTAATCGTGTAACTCGTGTGTTAATGACAGTAAAATAAAAATTGTTTTATTTCTCTTCGTTTTTCTTTTTTCATCGAAAAGTAATTATGTCTTCAATCTGTCAGTAAAACACCGAAGCCAATTCATCATTAAAATCTTGTTTTGATTTTATGATGTTATAAACGCTCTCTGAATTTTTATTTTGAATAATTTCTTATAATGATTCATTTAAATTCAGTGTTTCAAATGACTCTAAACACTAAAACAACGAAAGAAAGAAAAAAGCGTAATCTTCTGAGAACAGTTTTATTTTGTTTTTTCTATATTTAAAAATTATTTTTCGATAGAGAAAGAAAGATCAGATTTGCAGTATAAAATGATGCCATCATCATTCTATTTCACAGGTTCCACCAGCTAACTGCAAACTACCTGAAATTACAATGGTTTTAAATAACAACATTTCATACTTTAATGTTTAAAAAGTAATAGAGAAGACATTATAAGACAGAAAGAGAGTGTGGTCAATCTCTCACTCGCTTGGTAACCATAACCATAACTTTCATTACACTGATTAGTCATACACACTGGTGAGCTCAGCTCACTAAGAAAGTTTTCAGACTGATGAACATTGACCTTGTTAGTATATGTGTAGAACTTGGGCACTGTGGTAGCAAGTAATTCCATATTAGTTTGTATATTAGATGTATCACACAGTGAGTGAAACAGTATTACTATTTACTGAATGACACAGTTTCGAACACAATCCATTTTTATTCATAATCATCTCATCAGTTATAATCACGCGACTTTGAAACTTGAGTTTTATAGTTTTCTTTGTTTTCTTCAATTTGTCGTCGTTGGGGCAGTACAATTTCCCAGATATTCGTCTGGGACAGGTGTTGAATCATTGGTTGACCAAAACAAGACAAGAAATCTAGAGAATAGTTCAGCTATAGCACTACATGCAGTTACGCACAACCATACAATAGGCTGGATGGGATAGGATGACATTTAAAATCTAATGTCACAGCAGGGTGGAGGGAGAGATTGATAACAGAAGCTTTGTTTATCGAATCAACTGAGACAGAATACATGTAATAGGAATGATTCATCACCTGTCCCAGACAGATATCTGGAAAATTCTACTACCCCAACGACGACAAATTGGAGAAAACAAAGAAAACTATAAAACGCAAGTTTCAAAGTCGTGTGATCAAAATTGATATGATTATGAACAATAATGGATTGTGTTCGAAACGTTATCCAGTAAATAATACTGCTTTATCGCTGCGTGAGACATCTAATAAACAAACTAATATGGAACACTGACTTTCTTGAGTTGCCATGTTGACACTGTTTATTAGATTTCTTTTTCTGTTTTCTATCTTCTCTCATCCCCTTTCTTTTTTCTTTTTTCATAGTTTGATAGTATATAAATTGATGATGAGTTCACCTTATAATGTTTTCTCTATTACCTTTCAAACATTGAAGTATGAAATGTTGTTATTTAAAACCATTGTAATTTCAGGTAGTTTTCAGTTAGCTGGTGAGAACCTGTGAAATAGAATGATGATATCATTTTGTACTGCAAATCTGGTCTATCTTTCTTTATCGAAATTTATCAAGGGAACCAAATGTATGAAAATTATTTTTGATGAAATTTCAGTACAGATGGTATAAGAATGTTTGTGTAACTCCATTAATGGATGAAATTTTGCTTCTTTTGGTAGAATCATACAGTGTTATATATAGAGCAAGAATTAGGCTGGCATTCAAACCTACAGATTCACTCAGGTTGGACAAGCTGTCTGTAATCCAAAGGACCCTGCTGGTTGACCGAATTAGACAAAATAATGTAACTTACAAAAATACCCTGCAATGACTGTGAGGTCAACTACATGGGTCAAACTAGTAGGTCGGCGGTAGTTAGATTATCAGAAGATAAGAATTTAGCTAAGTGTAGAATGATTTACTCCGTGAGGATAATTAATTTGGAAAAAGCTCAGCAACTGTATTGCATGCATTAACATACAATTACAAAAAAGGGTGGGTCTATCTGTCTGTCGGTATTTAACATAGAACTTGGCACCGAAGTGCACCAGTTCGAGTTGCCGCCTTCCAAATACCATACACAAAGGTAGACAAGAAGATGAGTGAAGAGAATCAGTAGACTTTGACAAGTATAAGAGTGATTCTGAATGGGTAATGGTAGAAAGGAATATGAAAGATTACAGAGACTGAATACATCTGCGCTGACCATTGCCAACGATTTTGAGCCATGTCACCGATCGTCTCCAGCCACTGATTGATTCTTAGAGTCCCGATGGCCCCAACCCGGAAGTCTGCATCTTCCTACCTGACTTAGTTTAACTGTCTAGGATTTCATGGATTGGTGCCATGTTTTGTTTGGCCACCACCACTTACTCTTTTACAACCTGTACGTATATCAGCTAGTAATGCCCGTCGGCGGGGGAGGCGATGGCTAGGCATGCGCACCACGCGACCTAGCCATCTCAATCTATGTAACTTTATAGCCTCGTCGATTGATTTTCCCTGTTTGCCCAACACTCTACGCCCAACGTCAACATTACTTACCTTATTATACCACCTAACATGAGAAAGAGATCGCAGACATCTATGATTGAAGGCAGTCAACCTTTTCATGTCTTCAACTCGTATTGGCCATGTTTCAGAGCCATAGAGAAGGACGGAGCGAACTGCTGAGCAGTACACACGTCCCTTGGTTGATAGCCGGATGTCACGCCTACGCCAGAGATGGTGTAAGTTACCGAAAGCAGCTCGAGCTTTTTGGATCCGTGCTGAGATTTCGTCGCCATCAATCCGTTGGTGCTGATACAACTTTCCAAATAGGTGAAGTGGTCAACATGTTCTACCACTTCACTCCCTATCACTAAACTAGTAGTTGACGTAGTCCAGTCCTGTAGCAGCATCTTACATTTTGCAGGGGCGAATTGCATGCCAAACATACGAAGATTGCTGCTCAAGGTGTTCAGAAGACTCTTCATTTTGTCAGCATCCCCGCCTAGAAGGACTATATCATCTGCATATTCTAAGTCCATAAGACTATTCCCTGATAACAAGTCGATTCCTAGGTCGTTAAGGGTGGGAGACAGTCAAAATCCTAAGAAGTCATATAGGTAGATGGAGAGAGAGAGGTTGATTACTGAATCGTGGTTCATAAAGTCTACCAACACCCAACACACGCACAACAGAAATGACTCAATGAAAATACCAGTGATATGGAAGATATTATTACCACCAGTCAGTCAAATCAGAGTAGGATGATAAATAATCTTAAAATTCTATTTCACTTCACATACTTTATAACATTCTAACAAGTTATTTATTTATTTCACTATAAATGCATCTAATTGTATTTGATTGACAACACCAATATTATTACTTCTGAATGTACATTATCTCATATTGGTTTTTATTCAAATGTCTAGTCAATTTCCCTCATGTATATTAATGAAGCAAGAAAGTTGTGTGAGTGAGTGACTTGATACGATTGTGAGTGGCAATAATCGATTGTGCTCGAAACTTGGTCATCAGTAAATATTACTGTACAACACACTGTGTGACTGATCAAAATAACATTTTGTCCATACTGGAGTTATACTCTACCACCATAGTGCTCGAGGTTTATTCTCATATCAAGGTTCGTATAGTATTTACCGACTTATGTATTGTCATTTCCAGGGTGTAGATGTGATATCTTCATACAATTCTTCCCATCGGTAAATTTGAATAAGGCAAGGATGGCAAAGGCACCAGGATAAGGTGCACTGAAAAGAATATATCAAGCTGCCAAGTTTATTTGTGTTTATTAAACGACTGGTTGTTTAAAACAGTCAAATATGGACAAACTTACACTTCATGTTACTTCCAACTGTGTCTACCAATTTACATGTACGTGCCAAAGCACACAGACACATTCGAAGAACAGAGGAAAGAGTTATTGTCCTCATTTTTGAAGACATATCAAAGAGGTTGAAATATAAAGGGTTTACAGGTATTAAACAGTGCGGTTGCGCATCATCTGTTGGATACTAGTCATGCTGTGGACAATCTTAAGGGATAAGATAGTTGAAGGCAATCGGCCATAGAAAGCCTTGCCTGACCTAGTTATCGTGCTAGTTGGCACTCGTCCATTTCTTCTGCTCTCGCAGATACCCAGCATTTCTGTGCCATATCTTCTCATTTTGGTGGCTGCCTGGAAAGCCTTCATAGCCGGTCTCGGGGCTTCCTGAACACCGGCTTTCACTAACCAGCCCTGTGTGTCTTTTCGCTTCTCCGATTTCAGCGAAGAATAAGATTGTTCTTTGAATTTTTGTCTTGTTCAAGTCTCTCTAGCGGTTTGATAGGTTTAGTGGTGAGGGAGCGGGGTTCGCTAGCTCCACACCAAACCCTCCTTCTTTACCCGGCTTGGGATCAGCTAGAGAACTAGCGAGGTTGAACGTATGATATAGTAGTCAACAATTCTAATGTGAATAAATTAAAAATAAGAGATTATTTACACATAATCCTCTATTATTATTACTATTTGAACAGATCGCTAGCGAATTTCATACAGGATGGATGGATTATTGGGGATATGTACATTATTATGTTTCACCAAAACAATATACATCAAAATTAATGGCATTATTAAAATACTCACCACGTATCAATGTAAATATGTAAGTTCAAATGAGTTTGATTTTACTTGAATTTCGCGGTTTTTGAAAATAATTTTGTTTATAATTAAAAATAATAATAATTATTCTTTACAGGATTTCATCATGAGCAGACATTGGGTAGTAAACCATTTGGAAGCCAGTGCCGGAGTCCTGTTTTCTCCTAGTTTGGCACTCTTCCTCAGTGCGTGCCCACCACCAGGGTTCGAACTCAGGATCACCTTCCAGATACACGGTTAGCCATCAGAATCCATTCTAATGGCGCATGATCTCCAAATTTTGCCAATTCGTGATATACATATAGCGCAACAGATGTTAGTTCATGATGAAATCCTGTAACCAATCAAATCCCTGCAAATCGATATTTCAATAATAATTTTTGACAAGTTGATCACGGATTGATATCAGTTGGAGAGACGTTGAAAAGCAACTAGAAAGTACGGAATAGCTGTTTCATCCTAATTTGAGAGTCATCGGCAATACGCATCCGCCATCACCAGGATTCAAACCCAGGATCTTTCGGTTACAAGGCGTGCTAGGTCGTATACCATTCAGCCACTGTGACCCGATTCAGTGGCCAGAGCATGAATTCTAATGATTTCTAATGATTTAGCGTGGCCGATGATTCCTGCTAAATGATTCCCAAGCACTAGGATGAAACAGCTCTCCACTACGCCAAAGCTGCTTTTCAATGGTTCTCTAACTGATATCAATCCATGGTCAAACTCATATAAACAAATCTAATCCTTACAAACAAAACTCTTGAAAGTTAATGCCTATATGCTTAGAATTAAATGTAATAAAGGTAAACTATTGAAATATTTAGATGAGATTATTAGGCGCTAGTTTCGTAATGAAGTACAAATAGTGTAAACCAAGAAACAAACAGCTATTTTGATCAAACGCTGTATAACATTATAGAATATTTAAGGAAGAAAAAGTAGGTTTGATGCTAGAATAAAAGGTGGTGCAATAATACGAAAGCCTTTTTAACAAACAGTCTAATCAATTCCTAAACAGAGTCGACAGTTTATATAGCCTGAAGGCAGAAAACTAAGATTATCATACATAACTAAGACAAATAGTTTACAAAATAGATTAGGTTAACTGTATATTTCCCCTGAATACATTTATTTCTCTATTTTTGATTAAACAGTAGTTAGTAATTAGTGTAATCTGTGTACGTGTCTAGTCCTATCTTTGTTGTAGATTGGGTTCTATCAAAATTGCGATGTGGCCACCATGCCATTAGGTGGTTCACCATCACGGTGTACTGTGAATTGTTAGTATTAGATGGTTGGAGGCAATCGACCACAGGAAGCCCTGCCTGACCAAGGTTTCGTGCTAGTCGGCACTCACCAGTCGGCAAAGCGTATCTGCAACCTCGAAGAAACTCATATCCCTTCTGAAATTTAAACCCATGTCACCCAATACTACAGTCAGAGACATTGTCACTGCCACTGATCTTCTCATGTTTGCATTAGATGTTGACATAGAGAAGTTGGTGCAAGGAAGAAGTGTTAGCTTGTAGGCAGTCGTGTACGCAATTAAAAGTGATTTTCCATCATAGATTTATTCCCCTTGATGAATTTGATTTAAGCAAGAACAACAGTGGTTTGGACCGGTCTGCCATTCAGCTATTGGGAACCGACCCGAATCAATGGCCAGCGCATGGATTCTAACTTCTACGAATTTGTGATGCATTTAGCGAGACTGACACCAACCAGTGTCATCGGTGGGAACTGAATCTTCACACATGACCGGATGGACCTTACTGGTCAGGACGTCTCACTAGAAATAGCTCCAAGCAAGTCCGTCCTGTCGCAAGTTACTAGCGAGCATCAGATTAATTTTCAATGGTTGGTTTGTAAGGATTAGATTTGTATTTTAAGACTTCATCACGGATTGCTGTTTAGTAGTAAAATATTATTTTAATACTTCGGTGGTGTCAAAACAACAAAAAACTCTGTATATGAACAGAGTCCAGTGAAGAAAAGAATGAACTGCAAACGATAAAAAATTTTTTTCTGAAATAACACCATGTGACAAGATCAGCAACAGGGATCTTTTGGAGCGAATCAACCCAGTAGGAACCCATTGTGAAACAAATAGGCGGGAAGAAATGGAGGTGGATTGGCTGGCCATACTCTGAGGAAACCATCAAGTGACATCACTAGACAAGCCATCTCTCGAGTGGAACCCGAAACGGAAGCGGCGATTCGGTCGTCACTGCGAGGGTTAGGTGACATGGAGGAGGTGATGTGAAGAGGAGATGAAAGCATGTGGACAGACTTGGAGCCACGTGAAAACTCTAGCAGAGAACCGAACGCAATAGAGACGTTTGGCTGAAGCCCTATGTTATTCTAGGAATTAAAGGAAACAATAATAATAATGTGTGACAACGGTTGAAGCAAATTTACACTACTGAGAAGCAACACCATTTGATATGGTATTGCGTCATTGGTTCACTGGTAGAATGCTCCACTTTCCAGCCGTGTCGGAGGTCACAGCTCAATTTTCTTCCAATGCAATCTTATGCAATCTCATCTAGTTTATCTAATAACAGCAAGCCTGGAGGAAAGAGAAGCTCGTGTATGTTGGCAACAGCCTTACTCCGTTAAAAAAAACGACATTGTTAAAGATACTTAAAAACCTGAAGGCTTATATACCATTCAGACTGCAAGGAATGAGAGAAGGATCTTGACAGCGTAGTGAGTGGCTGAACCAATCGTTTTTCATTCAGTGGATCCTTGTTTTGGTTTCTTGCTTCTCATTTACTACAGCCTGGGGAAATGGGTAGAAGTATCAGTACTGCAGTGATTTTTTCCTGAGCTACTTAAGAAAAACCCTGTTACATTGTGCAGGTTACTAAAAGCTTTGGGTGAAGTAAGTTGGGTGCCTATAAGTCATCTTGTTGATATCGCTGTTGACAGGCATTTGAACTCATGCATGAAACTGGCGCAAATCATCATGTCAGACTATGAGTTCACTTTTCATATATACAACTCCACATTCGTGTCTTATTATGTAGGATTAGAAGAAATTAAATATATATATATATATATATATATCGCTCAATACTCAAGATCAGATGGCCAGAAAAGATCAGCAACAGGGATCTCTGGCAATGAGCGAACCAACTGGGAACCGATTGTGAAACAAATAGGCAGGAAGAAATGGAGATGGATTGGCCATACGCTGAAGAAACCATCAAGTGACATCACTAGGCAAGCCATTGCTCGAGTGGAACCCGAAAGGGAGGCGGCGAGTTGGTCGTCAGTGCAAGGGTGACTTGGAGGAGGTCATGCGAGGAGGAGATGAAAGCATGTGGACAGACCTGGAGCAGAGTGAAAAAGTTGTCAGAAAACCGAAGGCAATGGAGGTGCGCAGCTGAAGCCCTATATTCCTCTAGGAACTAAAGGACACAATAATAATATAATAATATCCAAACCAAGTTCACATTTTAAACAATTTGAACAATTTTGGGCATTGAGTATAAAAGTTTGTATATTTACCAATGAATGCAAAACAACACGATATTATTTTTACTGACGTTTCACTGACATTAAATATGGTATGCCTTGAAAGTAGTGCTAAAAATTCTCATACCGTTCTTAATGCCTAGAGTGCCTGTGAACATTACCAATCCCTGCCTTCATTGAACATATTCGTAGAAAGTGCATATTCCAATATGAAAATAACTGGTAAATACGTAGCCGTAGTGGAATAACACAACAGGATCATTTTCATTAGTTGCTTTGTAAGGGTTAGTTTTGTTTTAACGAGTTTGACCACGGATTGATATCAGTTAGAGAACCATTGAAAACAAGCAGGGAGTATTTCCAGACAGCGTCGGTGTCACAGTGGTAGAGTGCTCGCCAACCACGCCTCATGTGGTCCGGAGTTCGATCCTCGGCCGGCTCACTCCCTTACCTCACTAAATCGGCAATAAGACTGGTAAAGAGGGAAGGTTGTGGGGCATGAGGCTAGCAACCCCATCCTGTAGAAATATAATCACCACTGCTACAGAAACTTCAAGCCTATAGCTTGAAGGTGCTCTATGTTCCACTGAGAAGGTAAAGGAATAAAAATATTTGAAAAAAACTGGACAGTTGTTTCGTCCAAGTTTTCGGAATCATAGACAGTACGCACCCACTGGGTTGACCAGTACTGTCCAGTACTCTCTGATTGGTTTTCGATGGTTCTAAAACTGATATCAATCCGTGATCAACTCGTATAAACAAATGTAATCCTTACAAACCAGCTACTGAAAATTTATCCGACTCTCGCTAGTGACTTGCTACAGGACGGAGTTGCTTGGAGCTATTTCTAGTGAGAAGTCATGATCAGTGAGGTCCATCTAAATATCAAGTGCGAGGATGTATGTCTCACGGATGACATTGGTTGGTGTAAGTCGCGATAATTGCATCACGAATTGGTAGAAGTAGTTAGAATTGATGCGCTGTCCATTGAATCGGGTCGGGTGGCAGTGGCTGAATGGTACATGAGCCAGCTTGCCTTGTAACCGGAAGGTCTTGGGTTCGAATCCTGGTGGGTGTGTACTGCCTATGATTCTCAAACTAGGCTGAAACAGCTAGCTATCCAGTACTCCTTGAATGTTTTTCAATGGTTCAGTGATCAACTCATAAAAACAATAGCATAAGATGAATAACCTTCGACTATGTGATTGTTTTCATTACGAGTAACTGTAATAATAATAATAACAATAATAATTTTGCTATATTTCATTAATTGTGTTAACCACTTTGTATTTCATTACATCACCTGATAAAATGTGAATTACATTTCGTCATCTCTGACTGAATTAATGAATGTCAAGCATATTGACACGATTATTTCATAATTATAACGATTATTATAATTATTGACTTCATATTCATGACAATGTTTTTGGTGTTAAATAGTGTGTCTGAAATGATAATATTAAAACGTAGATTGAATATGTCGCCATGTTATTACAAATACTTTTTGTTTACGTGATT